TTTAGAGTACTCTTTTTACTCTCATTATATCATTTTTAATTTATTCATTAAAAAAAAGAAAAAGAAAAAAAGGAGTAAGCCGGTTTGTTTCATTGTGCCAGATGGGAGGTCAAACATGGATGTCCATTTTGGATGATATTGCTGATATCAAAAAAACCCTTCCATGGTATCAGGTTGTTTTGTGATAGTGTAACTAGTGTCTGAGAGAGGCAAGAGGATAGCTGGGTTTTAGAAGGTTTTACTGGTTGTTTCTAATGTTTGGACTAGTTTGTGGCGTAGTAGAAGTACATATTGTAGCATATGAAAATATTAAGCTGCTAAGTTTATGTTTTTATGAGGAGAAGGATCTCACGCAAGTACGTTACCTTCTTTAATGGTATTTGTTCAATGATCATTTCCATAAAACCAAAAAACGGAAAAAAAAAAGAGAGGAAAAAACCAAAAAACACACCTTGGTAAATTAAAAAAAGGCGTGGGGAAATTGAAAGTCAGTTGTACCGAGCCGAACCGACAGTCTAGGTTTATTCCAGCTATATTTGCAGCCCCAGCACTCATGCCATGCCATACCCAATATGATGTCTTCTTTGTCAGTATCGCTCCCCGTTAATAATTATATTACAGTATATATTTGTCAACCATCTCCCAAGGAGTAAGAGAACATTCTTTTCTGTTGTTATTGAAAGAAGAATGAGAGGATGATTCCTATTCAACCACTGGTCTTTTTGTTTTTGGGTGGAGGGAAGAGTATTTTAGACTAAAAGAGTCGAAATTATTGAAGAATCATTGACCTACCATCGTGCGTGGTGGTGGACAAAGAACTCAACTTTAAAAGCGATGCCAATAGTTGTCCTAGATAAATAGAGACATGGAAGATTGTGACTTGTGAACCAACGCCTTTTTTTTTTACAACTTACAATCACATTATTGAGTGATGAGGTAATATTGTTGGCAGTCAAACCGGGTCATTCTCAATTCAAACGCACTTTGAATGTAATCTTTTTTTAAACTACGCACATATCAAATTTGATTTTTTTTTTTAAAAAAAAAAAAATTAAGTGTAACTCCACGTCGACTTAATTTATTTAAAAGAAATTAATTTTTTGAATGTAAAAAATGTTGAGAATATGAATTGAGTTTATGGAAAATATGAAATTCTAGATATTGGGGTCGACTCTATGGGGTGCTCCTCTAAGTCCTTAATATTGCAATATCTCAACCAAAACAATAGCTCAACTAAAATAAACAAAAGTTCAAAGAATTTACCAAGTTATATCAACCTGTTTCATCAATTCATCATAAATTTCTTTTCCCTTTTGCTGTCATTAGCAGTCGTATAAAAAGGCAATGCATTATCAAAGCATGGGCCATGAATTGTTCAAGAAATTTCAATCATGAATACAGTAAAGATCCAAGTCTTGAGCACAAGAAGATTTCAAACAATGCATATAGCAAGAAAAGTTCCAAATTAATTAACAAATCAAAATGTGTAAGTTCCACCTTAAAATATGTCTGTGTCGAGTTGCATTACATGCC